TGTGGAGACCCCATGGACTATGTGTGTGGAGACCTATGGAACATGTGCTGAGACTCCATAGAACACATGTACAGAGACCCTACAGAACACATGTGTAGAGACTCCATGGAACACGTGTGTAGAGACCCCATGGACTATGTGTGTGGAGACCCATGGAACATGTGCTGAGACTCCATGGAACATGTATACAGAGACCCTACAGAACACGTATGTAGAGACCCCATGGACTATGTGTGTGGAGACCCCATGGAACATGTGCTGAGACTCCATGGAACATGTGTACAGAGACCTTACAGAATACGTGTGTAGAAACTCCATGGAACACGTGTGTAGAGACCCCATGGAACACATGGAGACCCCACAGAATATGTGGAGACTCAACACACACCCAGAAACCGCATGGAACATGTACAGAGACCCTGTGAACACGTGGAGAGAGACACCCAACGCTAGAGCTGCTTTTTTGGATGCAGCTGAGCCTCGTGTTCCCAGGATGCACTGTGGCCATCCCTGTCCCCGCCACCCGCCCTTGCACCTCTGACCTGTCCCTGGTACGTCTCCTTACCCCTCAGGAAAGCGAGGTTGTAATAGGTGAATACTTGGCTCCAGCAAGTGTTAATACCAGTGGCATACCAGGTTATTCTGGTATTCCAAGTATTCCAAATTTATCAGAAACCCAAGATTTAAGGGTCTTCATCTCAAAGTACAAGTCTAAGAAAACCAGAAAGAAAAGAGAAGCTGGGAGGGACAGTGCCTGTGACCGTGAGTCTGCTATTGAGCCACCGTCAGCCATTCTGTGTGGGTGCAGGGTCAAGGTCAGGACAGAGAACGTGCTCCTGGGGCTGATGAGCTGGGTCTGGAGGAGTCACTGACTGGTGTGACCCTGAAATCGGAGTTCATGTGGGGAAGCCCTTTGTCTCAGGCCGGCTTCTCGAGAGGAGGCTCTAATACAGAGAGAGGAGATTTAGGTCGATGCCTTTTGCCCCTGTGTTGGCCTGTTCGGGATGTCC